CCTTCTTGTCTGCCTTAGGTCCATAGTTCGGGACACATTTCTTCGAGACACCTTGTCTCACCTGCATACCATTGCGCACGAAGAACCAAACGGAGACTGGTGGGACGTACAGGATGTTTCTAGGCCCATCTTCCTTTGTCCTGTTGTTGGTCCCAGACATGTGGGCCCAGGTGGAGATCATGGACTTGGCTGTTTGCATGCGGCAGCAGGCACATGATCGCAGCCAGGGTACTTGAGGAATGTCTGCAGTTGAACAGGCCTGGAAGTGCCAAAAGGTGCTCGGCTCCTGGATGAGCCATCTTTTTTTCTATTTTTCTTTTTTTTCTTGGAATCCTGGATGAGACATGGTGACCTTGGTCACCTTGGTTATGCATGATAAGAATCAAGGTGATACCTGGCAGTGCTGGCACTGCTGGCAGGCTGGCACACAAAGAAACAAGGGTTAATCGGTAGAAGGCGCCCACGCCAAAACCTTTTCAAAGTTAAGCCGTTTGGTACTACCGGCCCAATGACTTGCAGTACTACAGGCCCACGCGTCGCTCCAAGAGCCCTACCGGATCATGAATCTGGCGCATTAACCGCGCCAGATTCATTTTGATGTAAAAGAGGCCGGCGGTGGTAACGCTGAAGTATAGAATGAGGCCCACGTACGCGATTTTGAAAAGAAGGGCCCTACCCGCTCATGAATCTGGTGCAGAAACAGTGCCAAATCCTTGAACCGGTAGAAACAGGCCCAGGGAGATGTGGCCACGGCGCGAAGGCGCCTTTCACCCAGGGGAAAGTTGTTTGGGCCGGAAGTACCAAACGGCAGAACTTTGGGCGGCCAAAACCGAAAAGGTTTTGGCGTGGGCTCTTTCTACCAATTATCCCAAGAAACAAACTCCATAAATTTTTGAGTAATGTCAACTCTTTTGCCATCTGCCATGATTTCTCCTTTACCCCCCACGGGAGTCACAAAAACAGTTTGAAATTACACTTGGGGCCAAAACGAGTTTCAAATTGCACCCCCGGGCCCGGGCAATTCATACAAAACAACTTTCTGCTAAGGTACATTGCCCGGAGTGCAGTTTGAAACTCTTTTTTTTTTTTTTAAAACCCCACCGCGGGCCACCGGTGTTAGTGCTGCCGATAAGAGCAGACACCACTAGCACCAGGGGAGGGGCTCCATCTATTGGTGAGGAGCATCACCTGCTGGAAATCGGGTCCAGCGTCCCATTTACAGAAAAGAGAATGTCTGTGCAGTTTGAAACTCGTTTCGGCCCCAAGTGTAATTTCAAACTGTTTTTTTGCCTCCCGCGTAGTTACCCCTTCTTGTTCTTTTTCCGTTCTTTTTCGTCTTCGAGAAGATTCTGCACACCGTGCAACCCGGGGTGGTACGGGTGCGAGCACCCCTCCTGGGCCCTCCGTAGCACACACCACAGAATGGCTCTTATCTATTAGTGCGAAGCAGCCCTTGAAGAGGTCATTTTGCACATGGGCACACTTGAGGAGGTGACAGGCAGCACCCCATCCACTGCTGCCCAGTGCCCACCCTCAGCCTCATGAGGGGTGGGTCTTCCCGGTCTTCAGCAGTACTTCTAAGATCGTGTTTCCCTCCCCTCCCCCTCCCCCTCCCCCTCCCCCTCTCCCCACCCAATAAAAACCCTTGTAACAGGAAATCACTAGCATGCACCCACATACGACTGGCCCATTGGCAATGAGATTCAATGGCTCGAAGCCTTGGAAGATAATGACTGCCTTACAGGATCCTCCGCTCCGCCAATTGCTGGAAGCCTTGGAGGATAATGCCTGCCATAAAGAATGCTTGCACCACCTTCATTATGAAAAACTTAAGGGGGTAACGCGGAAAAGAGAAAGAACTTTCAAAGATTCTGAAGCGAATAATGCTGGTGGCAGCTGGTCCTCTGCCTCTACAAACAAAATGTATGCTCTATAATTGATCAGACAAATGTTTCAGGCATCACAGTAGACACTAGGGAGCTTGCTGCACCGCTCACCAGATGTGTACACCACAAGTGAGTGTACTTCTTTCCAGTGCCCGGCCGGTCATATCATCTCACTCATATGGCCCTGCGCCTGTGAACCGTTCACGGTGAACGGGCAAACGGGCAGACCACAAAAGAGCGGTGTTTTTTTTTTTCTTTTTCTCTTTTGGGCTCACCCAGCTATAGTTCATAAAGGCAAAAACAACATCTGGCGGCGCTCCCGACATATGGCAAGTTAAAAATGGGCAGTTTTGTCGTTTTCAGGACCCGTTCCTTCCCGCCGTTCCCAGGCACCGGGGCCTTCCATTTCAGTTGAGATAAAGGGTCAGAGGACGGAGTAGCATCTGCCGGGGGCAAGTCCCACATCCAGGGTAGACTATCTGGACATAATTGTGGAGATGTGGGGTTCAGGAAACTCAACGTCATTTCTGCATAGACACGTCCAGATTCGAGCATCGAGAAAAAGCAAGGCTGCTGGTGGGACTCTGCACGGCCCCCGTGGAGCTCGCTCAGAGAGGTTGCAAATTCCGTTACAAGTGGACTCCCGGTGGACTGTGGGGGTGAATTGAAAACTGGGAGCGGGCGCGAATTGTCCCGAGAGAGAGAGAGACAGAGAGAGACAAAGAGAGAGAGAGAGAGAGAGAGAGAGAGAGAGAGAGAGAGAGAGAGAGAGAGAGAGAGAGAGAGAGAGAGAGAGATGGCATTGCACAACAGCAATGATCAATTTCAATTGACATCTGTCAAAGTTGGKAGGAGAGGGTTTGGCATGAAAGCTACACCACTGCTCGTCGAASAGACTGTCTATTCTCAGTGCRTACCAACAAGTTTAGAAGATCCAAAGAGACWGAGAAAACACACTACTCGTCCCAGCTCCACGTGCAGTCTCAAAGTATAAAAGGGGGTATTATAGGCTTCTCCTCCAGAGGCTTATTCATGGGCAGGGGTTCCACCAGCACGTGTTGCGCTGCCGCCGCTGAGTGTTTTTGAGTTTTTCAACACCATGATGGCCATGATGGCATCCGGGGACAAGATTCCTCCATGCATACTAATATGTTTCTAGTAACTTTGAAATTGTAGCATCAGTACTGCTGGAATCTTAAGAAGGGCTCCTTTGAATTTGCTTGTAAAATTCGTTAAAAACAAGTTCAAAAACCTCATGTCTACTATTCCATCAATCTATGTTTTATTTGAGGGCTACTGGTCGTGCCAAACAACTCTCAAATTCACCGAATTTTGGGAATGGAACCTTCCGAGTGATGCCACACCAACCCACAATTTTTTTTTTTAACGTGTCAGCTATGTGGCACCCTCGACCGCAGCCGAGGAGGGCTCTGGAGGCCAGCCGCGACCCCGTGGCCGAGGCCGCGCGGCCCAGTTTGCACGCGGCCGCGCCACAGCCAGGCGGAGCCACTCGCCGCAGATCCGGGCGCTCGTGCCGCCTGTGAAGGTCGGCCCCTGGCTCCCCCACCGAAAAATAATAATAATAAAATAAAAAAAAATCGGGGGGTCAATAATTTGGTTCCGGCCTCCAAAGGGCACTTTCAGGAGACATCGGTCAGAGGGCCAGTGTCTGCCCAGACACTCGTGAGGAGATCCGCTGTACAAGCGGTCTCCTGACTCTCCTTGCTGGTTTTGTTGGGAAGTGTTCTCATTGACAAGTGCTCTCAAGCTCCGAGACACTCCCTCCCAGTTCCAACCACCGCACGGCTGGCAGGACATGGCATGGTCCTCTGTCCTCTGCGTGGTCCCGGTCTGTGGGACATTACATGGTCCTCCATGAGGTGAGGGCGGGTGGCAGGACATGGCATGGTCCTCCTCATGTTGGAGCACTTGGGCAATCCGGCTCACCTCCACTGCAGAGGATCATTGGATCTTACATCCGAACCTGGTAATGTTCTTAGCACCTCTCCACAAACATGTCAATTGTCCACGACCAGGCCTCAAATTCGTCCATAGTTCAGTTAAACGGCCATCACCTTTCCCAGGCCAAACAAAATTGTCCGCCTGTTAACACAGAGGCTGGCCATGGCCAAGCACACCGACCACTGGCAGGTAGTAGGTACATCCCAATGCTTGGCGGCCCTTGTGGCCCACATATGGGAAAGGATCTGGTGTTGAGTCTGGTGGTGTAATGGAGAAAATTTGAGCATTGACCGAGTCCAAGAAACATGCTGACGAAATTTGGTCGGCAGTTTGGATGTTGTGCGACGGACGTGGTCCCATATATACCTGCCACAGGCTACCGGTTTATCCGGACATGTTTTTCAGACAAAAAACAGTAGTAAGAAAACAAAAGAATTAAGTTATGTCACTATCTATATGGAAAGGTCCATTTGTAGATGGCATTGCTTGAAAACAAAAGAATTAAGTTATGTCACGATCTATATGGAAAGGTCCATTTGTAGATGGCATTGCTTGTTTGTTGACAAAGCATTGAATTTAGCATGTGGCTCGCCAGAGTTGGAAAATTTGGTCATGTAGATCTTGTATTTTGCCTAAATTTGTCTGTTCACGAGACGGAACCTGTTACTTGTTGATGTACCATATTGTATCTTGCTGCGCAAGGGACGCTGAACCCGTTTCCAGCAGGTGCTGCTGCCCACAAATAGATGGAGCCTCTCCCCAGGTGCTAGTGATGTCTGCCCAAAACAGCATCACTAGCACTGGAGGGACTGTTTAAAAAAAAAAAAAAAAAAAAACGTTTTCGAACCATAATTTGTGGTCTTGAGCCAAATGATGGGAAACTATCATGTACAGTTTGGAGCGCAGGAAAATAAACTTCCGCATGGGGCTCTTGGGTTCATCGTGTGGGCTCAGTCTCGCTCTGAGTCATGGCAATATGAGAGTTCAATCACTTTCAAATTGCGACACGACGGAAACTCCCTAGAGTTGGAGGTTCATTCCACGAAACAACCTTCCCAATTCACTGATGAATCAGCAGGATTCCTCCTTGATAGTGGAAATGCAGCCCGCTAATGTCTTCTTTCCGGTTCTCTCCCCCTCCCATCCCCCCCC